ACGACTCATTCCAAATCCTTTTGCTCTCCCTTTGTGTATTGAGTGCTCTGTTCCACCCATCTATATTAGCACTACGACTACCATAATTCTGTGTTAAAGTATGGGACTACTGATGACCTTAACCTTCACAAGAAATAGGGCCCAACATGTCAGCAAAGCGGGGAGGAAAATTGGGGGGAGCATATTTTGTCAAAAATCTGATAAGTTTTTACAATTTATAATTCTGACGTGTGAAACTATGCATTAAAACCATTTGTATCTATTTACGTTTATTGGTCGTGATATCTGAATAATCGGCAATGCATCATAGTTTTAACATTTCATAAAATTACGATGCCATGAAATGTATTATTCAAATCTGCAAGATTATGTGATATTTGCGGTTGACTAACTGTATAATGCCTATATAAATAACTAATACTGTGATTTCACACGTCTATCAACTGACTGGAATATTTCAAACACAACGAAGCAGTTATTTGACCTATTTCTCCATCTCAGTAAACTGGCCTTCATCTTCTCATGCTCCTCTGAAGCAAGTTGATGATAGACTAAATACTTGATTACATTATGTAACATAAATATTTCATAAGGAAACATATATGATTACAATCATTGAATAATCAATTCCACAGCCAGTTATTACAGTGAATATTCAGACAGAGAAGAGGCGTTAATGATAATAGTACTTATCACTTGAAAAACTCCATACCCATACCCTGCTGAAGGCATAGTGACGATGATGGCGAAAATCAGAGAGCACGGAACTCTTACCATCTTATCATTAATGGTTGGGGATAGGATTCATAGCAACATTCCAAATCTGTGCCTCCTGTGGGTCTGTGGTTGGTAGAATTGTGTCTGGCCCAAAGTTTCAGAAACTAGTATGGGTCCCTGGGACGTACAATAATTAATTTTCGATTTGTGACAAAATCGGGTGAATTTTTATTGAATGAGGGCTGGAAGAGTTTACTCAGGTCTAGCAACTTTTAAAGTCTTTTAGTCTTTTAGCCAGATCCAAAGCCATCACAGCACTATGTCAGTCGTAATCCTATGATAAACTATCTTGTTAGATGGCTCGTAATGCTACGAATGATTCATGGATCGGGACCCTGATGGCAGCCTGGTATTCATCTTATTTCAAACATTGATTGGTCATATTTCAGTCATACCATTAGTTGTTAATGGATGGACCTTCTCTGATGATGTCCTGCTTCATATTCTTCCATAAGTGAAGATCCAGGTTAGAATTGGTCTTCAGCATGTTTGGACGAAGCGACTAAGGGAATCAGGTGGTCAGGCTCACTGATTTGGTTGACACATGTCATCGTATCCCATTTGCGAAGATTGATGCTCATGCTATTGATCACTGGATTGTCTGGTGATACGATTATTTACAGACAGCAGTCATATAGCTGGAATATTGCTGAGTGCAGCGCGAACAGAACAACCAACCAACCAATTTCTACCATCTACCATAATATCGATTATACGGTATCTGAATGTCTTACACACATGAAATGATTCCCTGTACAGAAACAAGCAGTATAGAGTCACTCAAGGAAAGAATGTCACAACCCTATGTCTTCTATAATGATCAGCAGATCCGATTCATGTTACCTGATGCTTATTCAGGGCTCAGATTTGAGGTCTACTGACCCTGAACCTGTATAGCAAACCCTTCTGATACGTGTTGAGTAAAAAGACGCTCAGCTGTCAGAGGATACTTGTACATGTCAAGGAATGTCATTACACTCACAGTGGATTTTTAATCAAGCATGTCCCTGTGCTAATTAATACATTGCACTAATTGAATGCTAGAATCACAGGCTCAAATGCCTTGCAACCAGGATACAAAATAATCCAACACAAGACTATCTGTGAGATCATGCATTACACATACTTAGGGCCAGTATATGGTGAAGTGAGGCCCCGAACACTGAACCTACCAGCAAAGTAAGCCAGACAATTAAGATAAAAGAAATTCAGCCTGGGCTGTAGATAGAAGCTATAATTGAATCTGGCATGCAGTAAGTGACAAGACTGCTGTTTACAGCTGGATCAGATATTCTGGTACTGGATGTAGCCAACTCATTCAGACCATGTACTTGAAGATAGCCCTTGATGAAAACACGACACACATATATTGATTGGCTGTATACTCATCCGATAACCCTAAACACATTCAGCTTACCTGCACTCACAATAATTGTATAAACAATATATGACTGCAGACAATGTATAACTGAAGACACAATGTGTAACTATACAAACCATGTATAACTGTAGACAATGTGTAAGTATACACTATGTATAACTGTAGACAATGTGTAACTATACAAACCATGTATAACTGTAGACAATGTGTAACTATACACTACACACCATGTAACTGTAGACAATGTGTAACTATACAAACCATGTATAACTGTAGACAATGTGTAACTATACAAACCATGTATAACTGTAGACAATGTGTAACTATACAAACCATGTATAACTGTAGACAATGTAACTAACATGTATAACTGTAGACCATGTGTATAACCATGTATAACTGTAGACAACCATAACTATAACTGTAGACAATGTGTAACTATACAAACCATGTATAACTGTAGACAATGTGTAACTATACAAACCATGTATAACTGTAGACAATGTGTAATGTATACACTATGTATAACTGTAGACAATGTGTAACTATACAAACCATGTATAACTGTAGACAATGTGTAACTATACACACCATGTATAACTGTAGACAATGTGTAACTATACAAACCATGTATAACTGTAGACAATGTGTAACTATACAAACCATGTATAACTGTAGACAATAACTGTAGATGTGTAACTATACAAACCATGTATAACTGTAGACAATGTGTAACTATACAAACCATGTATAACTGTAGACAATGTGTAACTATACACCATGTATAACTGTAGACAATGTGTAACCCATGTATAACTGTAGACAACCATGTATAACTGTAGACAATGTGTAACTATACACACCATGTATAACTGTAGACAATGTGTAACTATACAAACCATGTATAACTGTAGACAATGTGTAACTATACAAACCATGTATAACTGTAGACAATGTGTAACTATACAAACCATGTATAACTGTAGACAATGTGTAACTATACAAACCATGTATAACTGTAGACAATGTGTAACTATACAAACCATGTATAACTGTAGACAATGTGTAACTATACAAACCATGTATAACTGTAGACAATGTGTATACAAACCATGTATAACTGTAGACAATGTGTAACTATACAAACCATGTATAACTGTAGACAATGTGTAACTATACAAACCATGTATAACTGTAGACAATGTGTAACTATACACACCATGTATAACTGTAGACAATGTGTAACTATACAAACCATGTATAACTGTAGACACCATGTGTAGACAACTACTATACAAACCATGTATAACTGTAGACAATGTGTAACTATACAAACCATGTATAACTGTAGACAATGTGTAACTATACAAACCATGTATAATGTATGTATAACTGTAGACAATGTGTAACTATACATAACTATGTATAACTGTAGACAATGTGTAACTATACAAACCATGTATAACTGTAGACAATGTGTAAGCATACACTATGTATAACTGTAGACAATGTGTAAGTATACACTATGTATAACTGTAGACAATGTGTAAGTATACACTATGTATAACTGTAGACAATGTGTAAGTATACACTATGTATAACTGTAGACAATGTGTAACTATAGACAATGTGTAGACAATGTGTACACAAACCATGTATAACTGTAGACAATGTGTAACTATACAAACCATGTATAATGTAGACTGTAAGACAATGTGTAACAATGTACTATACAAACCATGTATAACTGTAGACAATGTGTAACTATACAAACCATGTATAACTGTAGACAATGTGTAAGTATACACTATGTATAACTGTAGACAATGTGTGACTATACAAACCATGTATAACTGTAGACAATGTGTAACTATACAAACCATGTATAACTGTAGACAATGTGTAACTATACAAACCATGTATAACTGTAGACAATGTGTAAGTATACACTATGTATAACTGTAGACAATGTGTAACTATACATAACTGTAGACATGTACACTATGTATAACTGTAGACAATATATAATAAGACAATGTAAAACTGTTCAATGTATACAACTTCAAATGCACTGTGTAACTGTACGCACAATCTATACACAACACACACAGTATAACATCAACACTATTTAAAAATCCCAACTGTTTGTCAGTGCATGGAGCCATCTCTGTACAAACTCCAAACCTCTGACACTAATAATACTAACTTTCCCTAGCTGCAACACGAACGACAACAAGAAAATCAAAATCATGACAGAAGGACTATACACTGGCTGGTCCATCCAGGAGCATTCTTGTGTCACTGGGGTCCATTATCATGTTACAAATGTTTGAATCATTGCAGATCCTCTTCGGCAAAGTTGAAGCATTCAGAACTGCTTCAGAATCAAAGCCCTGAAATGCTACTTGTGAAAGAGAATTCCAGTCCACGGATATTTCCTTGTCCCCTGAATTGCTACAAGTCAAAGAAGACTCCCTTCCGTGGATATTTCCTTGTCCCCGGCACAATTAAGTTGTCTCGGGCAAGCGGACCAGCATGAATTTTGGAAGTGCTTCAGAATCAAGCCCTCAAATGCTATGAGTCACAGAAGACTCCCTTCCATGGATATTTCCATGTCCCCAGCAGAATAAAGTTGTCTCGGGCAAGCGGACCAGCATGAATTTAGAATTGGCTCAGAATCAAACCCTGAAATGCTACGAGTCAAAGAGGACTCCCTTTTGTGGATATTTCCATGTCCCCATCACAATTTAGTTGTCCTGGGCAAGTCGACAAGTGTGAATTTGGACATCTGCATGCAACATTAGACTGACAACAAGTTCCATATTACAAAACCAACACTTACCTATAGGTTCCTGGAAACCTGAGTCCACACTCCCCTTGTAGTGCCTGTCTCCAACTATAACAGAGAAACACCAGTGAGTCAGTCAGGCAGGTTTTGTCATTCTTTTGGTACTATTATAGATAGCCCGATGGTTGCAACAGGCCACTCTCTAACTACACTATACAGTTCCATCCCAAGTGAGCACTCAAGATGTCAGTACTAGACCCCAGTTCTGGTGAAACCTGAGTGAGTGAGTGAGTGAGTGAGTGATAGACAGAGTGAGTGAGTGTGTGAGTGAGTGAGTGTCCTCAATAGTAACTGGTGAGCGAGTGAGTAATGACCCTTATCTGCCTGATCTCATGAAAAGGTATTTACAGAACATACAGCATGTGAACTTGACATATTTAGACATTTTTATACATTAAAATAGATGTTTGATAATGCAAGACACAAGTGATCCAACACATTGCTGCCATCTCAGCACAGTTTTTCTTCAACACATAAAACAAACCTCCCTGTTGTTCATCCACAAATCCATATCCAGCACAATGGCCACAGGTCCATGAATATCAGTGACAGTAGGTACATTAGTTTTACATATGGGCATTTCCTATAATCTGAGTTTCTCTCACAATCTTTGCACAGTTCATTAAAATATTCTTCCTATTACAAGATAATAATAAATTGAATTTACTTACATAAGGGTTATTCCGAAAAAAATAAATAGGTGTATATTCGATAGTATGGCAGTAAAATATGGGCAAATCGATATAAAGTGCTACTCATCTTCAATCATTCCCAGTATACACAATTTACCGAGTCGATTACAAAGAGCAACACCACATCGTCTTCAAACATTCATCATTAATGGCAGTTACCGGAGTCTTGATAAACATAAAAGTCGTCAATATTCACTGTAACTGAACATGAATAATTCTCAGCTGCTAACAGTGATTCATATTTTTTATCTGGCTGTAGTTTTCTTGAATCACAAAGTTTTGAATGCAAGTCTTTCTGATTAGTCTCCTATTATTTGTATAAAGTTGTTTAAAAATAGCATTAACCAGCCATGGGCAGTATTTCAGTTATACCATAGGAGTTGAGTCAGAACGCTGGAGTAAGCCTGAAGTGATATGAGTAATAGATGCATGCTGCTGAGACAGTGACACAGGCAAACCAAAACTCTGAACCCAGACCAGCATATACCTGCAGGATTACAGTGAATATAGCTTCTACAGCTGATTGAGTGAGTGAGTGAGTGCCAGTCAGGTCAGTGAGTGAGTGAGTAAGGTCAGTCAGTCAGGTCAGTGAGTAAGGTCAGTCAGTCAGGTCAGACAGTGAGCAAGTCAGTCAGTCAGTCAGTCAGTCACAGTCAGTCAGTCACAGTCAGTCACAGTCAGTCAGTCAATCACAGTCAGTCAGTCACTCAGTCAGTCAGACAGTGAGCGAGTCAGTCAGTCAGTCAGTTAGACAGTGAGCGAGTCAGTCAGTCAGTTAGACTGTGAGCGAGTCAGTCAGTCAGTCAGTCAGTCAGTCAGTCAGTCAGTCACAGTCAGTCAGTCAGTCAGTCAGTCAGTCAGTCAGTCAGTAGGTCAGACACTGGAACTCAAGAAATGGTCTTCACACATTGTACCCCTACAGGGATCTGAACCAGGTCTTCAGCATGATGAAAAATGCTTGAACCACTAGGCTACCCCAGTACAAACAAGGTTACATGACATTCAGCTATCAGTGACCGATAATTTGGAGCGTACAGGGACAGTTCACAGATAGTTCAATTAATATACAACACCAGACGTAAGTACTCGTGACCTTTAACAAAATCAAACCTTTAGCAGAAATTATCTACTCAGTAAATAACATCTGACAGAAGAGATTCACCACATTACCAAATAAAATCTAAAAGTTTAATCTTCAAAATATGTGATGGAAAGGTCAAAGCATGAATAAGCTTGCACAATATTGCTGGTTGGAAGGGCACACAGACTAGGTGAGGTGAAATGGGATTTAACATCATACTTAAGAATATTTCGCTCATATGACACCACGCATGCATGTGTATGCATGCTGCTTGTACTAGCTCAGACTTAAGCTGGTTTTATAGTGCTAGCTCACTGAGATACCATGCCGCAGTTAAGCATGAATACCTCATGAATACCCGACACAGACTCAGGCTGGGACCAACAAGTACCATATTTTAACGCCCTTTTGTTGAAACGGGGCCCGGGATCGAACCCACAACCTCCCGCAACCTTCACCTCTCGGCACACAGACTAACTTGCCACTGCTTAGGCTAGTCCATTGTAGAAAGATTGGAAGCTGAACGTATTTCCTTATCATAAATATCTCAGTTAGGAATACAAATTGTCTCAAATGAGAATAATACACATTATTTTCATTAATATATGATAATTACAGTAAGTGAGTGAGTGAGTTTAGTTTTACGCCGCTTTTGGCAATATTCAGAGCTACAGATAACTTTTTGGGTCATTGTGTTATGTACTCGCTTGTGTTCATCTCAATTGGGTATCCTAATTTTCTTTTGAGTAACCAAATAAATTGTACTCACCTCACTCAAACTCAATTGGGTATTTTGCCATTTCCATTAATTGTAAAAATATAATAAAGTTTAAATGTTACTGTTTGTTATTTATATTTGATCTGTAATATGATAAACGATAAGAAAGACTGCAAGTTGTCAAGTTCATGTCCTGAAATAGAACCTCTTCACTTATTTTATCTATCCACTGGTACTCAAGCTAAGATTTGACATGTTTGTGTGTACGCATGTAAGATCACATTTATTGGGTATTTACAAAAATTCAAGCGTACCTATACGCAATAGACTTAATAGGAATTGAGTTTTCACATAAATATTTGCGTAATTTACTCAGATACGCAGCTTATCAGTACCTCTGAATATTCCAGCAATATCACAGCAGGGGACACTAGAAATGATATCATTACAACAAGGAAACACGAGGTTTAATCTCTCCATGATTTTTATTCTTTAAATAATCAACGATGTGGTATTTTTATTCAATAGATTTATGTTAGAAATGGCATACAAATACAGTGAGTGAGTGAGTAGGGTTAATGCCACTTTGAACATTGTTCCATTTATATCAAGGTGTGTCAGCTTAATGTGTGATGTGCATTGTGGGCCTGAGAGGTTTATCATCCAAGCATGGGCACAGTGTTGACTAACTGCGAAACATACCACAAAGTGAACCACCTTATTTGTCACATAATGACACTTTGTCAAGTATTACATTAAGTTGTTGACTTACAGGCTTCAACTTCTTAAACGTTTTGGTGCAGTTGATAGTACCCTCAATATTTGAGTGAGTGAGTAAGTGAGACAGGGAGTTGGGTTTTACGCCGCTTTTAGCAATATTCCAGCAATATCAGGGCAGTGGACATCAGAAATGGGCTTCACACATTGTACCCATGTGGGGAATTGAATCAAAATCGAAATCTATTAGTCAACTGTAGTTGTTGTTGGAATATGGAACTACAAACACATTTCCTATTAAATTAAACCTTTTTCATATGCTTCCAAAGAATTTATAACTTATTAGGAATTAATCAAGAAACGCAAGGAATGTACCACATTAATATACTTTATTTCTTTCTTTACTGGTTGTTTTAGTTTAATGTGACACCCTGCATTTTTATAGGTATACAAGTGTAAGTGGTCAAACATGGACCAGACAATCCAGTGATTGATATTGTTAATGAGTGATGCCATCGGAGCATTATGAGGTGAGGTGAAATTGGGTTTAACGTCGTGCTTGAGAATATTTTGCTCATATGACGACGTGCATGCGTGTGTATGTGCGGCTGCTTGTACTAGCCCAGACTGAAGCTGGTTTTATAGTGCCAACCCACTGAGATACCACGCCGCAGTGAAGCATGAATGCCCCACTCAGACACATTATACTGACTCCGAGCCGACCAGTCCTTGTTGTACCCATTAATGCCGAGCGCCAGGCAGGGACCAACAAGTACCATATTTTAACGTCTTTTGGTATGACGCGTTCGGGGATCAGACCCGCAACCTTCCGCTCTCCGGGCGGACGCTCTAACCACTACACTACGGAGGCAGTCCTCGGAGCATGATGACAACCTTGCCTACAAACAAAAGTATAATTGAGACCGATTCTAACTGCAATTCCCACAGGGTTTATAACAGTAAAGATTCTTTTAGTCATGAGCTGGCAGGCATGAATAATACATATACTCAAAATCAAAAGGAATAGGACATTCATGATACTGTGAATTTTTTTATCTTTAGTCAAACCGTCAGCGCCAAACATGTCATGTTAGAAGGTCCTGGAGACAAGGGGGTGCAAGATAGTAGTCATTATAATTTCAGGTTGGTAAAAGCATTGCAAACTGGAATCTGAAATCTGAAAATGTCTCTACGTGAATACAGATCATCTGTGTGTAGGAAACACGGGATGACAGGTTCGGTTTTACTGCTGTACTTCATGTTTTGCAAATACCAAACACAGACCGGCTCTGTTTTATCATAATAACATTTATAAAAAAAACTAGGGTCAGCTAAAAATATCCATAAGCGGAAATATCGCTGATGGGTAAAATTATTAATGATTATCTATATGAATATTGTGTCATCAATAATATCGTACATATTAGCGCTAATTAACTGTTACGTTTACAGTAAGTGTTTGCATCCTTTCTGCACTAAATAACTGTTAGTGCTGGCTTCCATTTGTTCCACTTTGTTGTGTAATTACTTTTGTTGTTTTTACAAGTACATATATATGCTGAGCTCTCTGCCTCATACCATTCATTCACATGATCAAGGAGTAAGGATATACCCCGAAACGTTGTGTCCTCAGAATAAATAAGTTGTAATCCATAAAAACTCTCTACTTTATCGTACATATTGTGATGAGATAAAGTTTTAATATACTCAGACAATACCTCACCCACCAGTAATGAGATATATGTTGATTTCTTTCAAATATTATTGGCATTTGGGATCAAAGTTACCTCTCCAATATTTATCGATTACTTATGGACATAACAATCTGGGTACTGCCCAC